CTGAATAATCAGGGATTATTCAAGCGTAATCCATGCCCGCATTTGGGCAGAGACTAAAATCATTCCCAGAAAGACAGCCTTCTGGCTGGGTAACAGATGACCCTTCTGTGGGTTGATCATCAACCTGAGGTGCTCTAAGTGGCTGAGCAACAGCTCTCTGTGAGCGGCCAATTCCCGTTCTGATCTGGCTAGAACCAGCCAATCGTCAAAGTAATTCAATATGTGGATTCCCATCTGTCTCAGAGGGGAAAGAGCTGCGTCTATGCACTTCGTAAAAGTGCGCGGGGCCAGAGACAGTCCAAACGGAAGGACTACATACTGATAGGCCACTGCCTCGAATGCGAATCTCAAGAACGGTCTGTGATGGGGTCTGAGTGGATGTGAAAGTAAGCATCTTTCAGATTCACTGTTAAAGACCAGTCCTCGGGAGAAATCTGCGCGAGGATCTGTTTCAAAGTTAACATCTGAAAGGCCATCTCATAAGTGAGCGATTCAGATGTCTGAGATCTAGAATAGATCTGAGCCCACCATCTTTCTTAGGAACAAGGAAGTAGCGGCTGAAAAGCCTGACTCGCTGTTCACTAGAGGTACCATTTCCACAGCACCTTTTGCATGCAGTGCTTGTACTTTGGACCGGAGAACATGTTCTTCATTGTCCCGTACCGAAGTCTGGATAATACCTCTGAAACGAGGTGGCCTGCGAGCGAACTAGAATGAGTAACCTCGTTTACTGTATTTAGAACCCAACTTGAAACACGGGAAATGGCTGCCAGACCATGAACCGTGTGGCAAGAGGCTCCATTTTGTTGAATAGAAGTTCGCCAAACATGGGCGGGGAACTTGCATTCGCAGATGTGAGGAGAGAAGAATGCTCTTGTGGGTCCGCTATCACAGCAGTAGTTTGCTTGGGCACATGCTAATGAAAAGGATGTGCCCAGCTTGAATAGAACATCCATCGCTCAGATGTTGAACAGAGGGATGGAGAGCAAGCATGAGCTTTCTTTGAGGGAGTTCTGTCCTCAGCGAGAACTGATCCCTTCCCTTTCCTCTCAAAAATGCTTTGCTAGAATAAATGCTCTCAAAAGTGAGAGCAGCCAGCCCCGTGAGCGCGACTAAATCTGAAGCTGTCAGTGATAAAAATAATTAGTGATAGCATTCTCTTTCAATCCGCCTAAATGATCAAACCGGTTAGATGAGGTGTACTGATGATCCTCACGTGTAAATACACGGCCGATCAAAGTGCTGCATGCATTTTCTTAGATCCGCCCATGGCAGACGAGGGGAGGAGCGGGGCCGCCTTCATTGATGAAGGTGAACCGCGAGCAAAGCTGAGCGAGACACAAACTCTCATAGTGAGAGCAGTCTGTCTCAGTGAGCACAGCCGCAGCCTCAGGCGAGCGGCACACTCAAATAGAAGCATTCAGCAATATGAAATCATTGGTGACAGCATTCTATTCCAAGCTGCAAGTTAAGTAACCTTTAATAGATCCGGCTTGGAGGTTCTTCACTGATTTCAGGTAGGAAATAAATTAAGTAATTGCGAGGAGAGAAAGATCGGGAAATTGCAGGTTATAGGAGAGGTGAAAAGCTTTGAAACATCTCCAAGCTGTTAGATATGAATGGATAGTTCTGGTTGAAACTGCTTGGAGGATAGAGTCGAGTGATGCATCGAGGTGAGGATTTAAGGGATGAGTTATGGGAATATGAGTTGCGAATAGTGAGGTACTTGGGTTGGCGATGGGTCCGTCTCCGGAGCCAGCGGTCTGAATTTCTGCGAGAATCTGAGACTTCATGGTTTTAGGCACAGAGGGTAGTTCCAGAGTGGCGGCATTCAGTGGGGTAGGTAGTGGGACTGCTGTGAATAAAGTGTACTGAGGTTTAGATTTGAGAGAAGGGTTAGAAGGAAGATAAGGAGCGGCCGTAACCGTTTGCGGGGGCAGCCTCACGCACGGATCAGCCCACGGTGCTTGAGGAAGCATGTAGGAAGAGGTAGAAGGAAATGAGGGAGGAACCATTTGCAGACGCAGCCTCACGCATGGATTAGCCCCTGGCCATTGATAGGGAAAAGGAGTAGCATAAGGGTAAGAGTAAGATGGCTGATCTTGAGCGGCTAGCAGATGCAGCCTCACGCTAGTGTCTGCCGCCGGAGGTAGAAGGAAGGGAGTGGGAAGGATAGGAGGTTGGAAAGCCATGCCAGTGGGCGATGTTGCGTGCAGCACAGTAGCTGAAGTCGCCGCAGTGATTGTTTGAGAAGAGGAGGGAGGCAGTACAGTGTGAGGAGCGGCCGAGTCTGGGGCGCAGCACAGGCTTGCTGATGGCCTGCTGCATCCTTGAGACTCGAGGGGAGGCGGAAATTGATCTGGAAGATGACATTATTTTGAATGAAGTAGAGAGCTGTGAGGGAGAGGAGCATGGGCCAGAATTGACCTGTCGGTAAGCCCTGCCTCCCTTAGTTACTGTTGCTCCCTCGGACAAACAAACGGAGCTGCTCACTGTCTTACAATGACAGCTGTCAGTGTCAAAACCTTGTCACAAGATGTTCTTGAACAATTTTGGACACAGAAGGGCCACCATTCAAGTGGAAAGTAAATATTCCATGGAGGGATATATAAAATATTTTAAAATAAATATGGTGGGTAACTCGAAGCAAGGGTTTACAGATCACAATGCAAGCGGGATAAGTCTCATATTACGGTCTTCATCACGATCACGGATGACAACATGTAGGATCAACACTGTTCATGTATCGCAGGGTACGATTAAATCAATGTACATTTAACAAGTTTAATATGGAGAGGCACTAAAATGTACACCTTCGTTTATGTGTTTTTGACCTACACTGTAACTTACGTGAGAACAGTTCGCTATTTAAGTTTGCTGAAACGCAAGCTGACATTAACGTTCTGCTTGAGCAGATGAAAATTGTAACTTAATAAGAAAAATTACAACCAGAAAATGAACATTTTTGTCTTCATTGGGATTGGGGTTGAATGCTTAGGGATATTTTGCTCTGTTTTGCTTGGGTTTAGGGAATGTAATAAAATAAATTATATTGCCTTTTCTCTCAGGATACCTGGAATCAGTGTTACAAGTACCCCAGGCACATTGTTTTTCCATTTTTGTAGCATAAACACCATCAAACCGATGTGAGCTTCGGATCTTCCAATGTTTCTCTATGGCGCTGAAACCTACAGATGTCCGAGTTCCGCTCCCCGTGCAACTGATACTCGACTGCCATTGGCTCATCTGCGTTCGAGGGGAGGGACTTACCGATAGGTTAACTGTCAGCGAAGGCAGTCTCACGCTTAAATCAGCCTCTGGGCTAGTGTCTGCTATGGGAGCTGGAGGCCACTGAAAATAAAAAAGGGGTTATTAGTAACAGGAGGAAAAGCCTGAGATGTGTTGGCCTGAGTTGCAAGCGGAGACAGCCTCACGCTTCCTTCAGCTGCTCTAGGTCAATGGAAGGGAGTGGGGTTTGTGACATCCTGAAGAGCCTGTGTAGCTTGCACAGCTAGCGGAGGCAGCCTCACGCTAGCATCTGCTATGGGACCTGGAGGCCACTGAAAAGAAAAAGGATTAGAAGTAACAGGAGGAAAAGCCTTAGATGTAAGGGCCTGTGTTGCAAGTGGAAGCAGCTTCGCACTTGTTTCAGCTGTTGTAGCTGTAAGCCACGGGGGCTTGTGATATTTGGAGGAAAATGCTGGAGGGCCTGTGCAGCCTGCACAGCTAGCGGAGGCAGCCTCACACTAGCGTATGCTACGGGAGCTGGAGACCACTGAAAAGGAAGAGGGGTTAGAATTAGTAGGAGGAAAGTCTGAGATGTGAGGGCCTGTGTTGCAAGCGGAGGCAGCCTGTTTTAGCTGTAGGCCACGGGAAAGGGGAGTCGTTTGTAACATTCAGCGGGAAATGCTGCAATGCCTGAGTAACCTGCAGTGTTGCTAACTTAGCAATTTTGTTGCTAGATTTAACAACTTCTCAGACTACCCTAGCAATTTGTTTTTTTTAAAGCACTAGCAACAAATTTAGCTATTTAAAAAATATTTGACGACTTTTAGCAATTTTTAAAAATACAATGATGAAAAAGACATGCTTTTCCTCTTCAAAAAGAAGAAAGTATTGAAACAGCTAGCCAGCCAAGCAGCACATCAGCTGGTAGAGACTTGGAGAGAGGTGCCTAGCAGTATGCACATCACATGCGAATTAGGTTGCTAGTTGCACTTGTTCAATAATAATATCAATAGTTTCTTTATGATACACCTTAGTTGTTAGTTTGTACCTATAATTGTTAATTATTTAGGTACACTGTTGAACTTATTTTCTCGAAAATCAATCTTTTTCATCTTATCTGTCTATCTGAGTACAATGTGTCATTTAAAAAACAAGTAAAATGCTAGTGAAAATGAATACAGAAAAAGTAATTTACTTGTATGTTCTACGCAGTTTTGCGTCATGGCTACAAAATTACATCAACATCCATTATGTCATCACGTCATTTAACAACTGTTAGCAACAAACTACCTGCTTTTAGCGACTTTACCTAAAAATTTATTTGCAACAAGGCCTGCGCCACTAGCGGAGGCAGCCTCAGGCTAGCGTCTGCTACGAGAGCTGGAAGCCCAGCTACATGTGACGCTGCGGCCGGAAGAGCCACGGTGAAAAGTTGAGCCAAAGTTGGAAGCGAGTGAGGTTTTGCTGCGGTGAGAACTGGGGGCGCGGCTCAGGCTCGTTTGAGGCCTGTCGCTGCGACCAACGCTCGAGGAAAGCCGGGTCTTGTGTGGGACGATGGTGGTGTCGAGTGAGGCGAGTTCGGGGCTTTGCTCAATCTGGTGGATTTAGGAGTGAGGTTGGCTAATTTGTAGAGTAACGAATAGATCGTACAGATCTGCTTTGTTTACCCTCCGCGAGAATGATTCGTCGGAATTAATCAGCGTTTGCCTCAGACTTGAATACTGTCCACTTTCCGATTGGAGGATATATTGGCATGGCCAAATGATACGAGGATGTCGGGGAAGAAATTGTATGTCTCGCCGGTGGAGGAGAGGTTAAGCCTCAGTGTTGTGGAGAGCGTGTGGCTGGTCGAGCAGAACAGTGGCCGTGATGAAGCCTGGTGCTCAGCGGCGGTGACTGGCAGAAAAGGAGTGAACCTAGGGCCAGCAGATTGAGACAGAGGATCCAAAAAAATCCCCAGTACAGGTCTCGTCTTTGTACTGTAAAAGTTGAGTCTGTGATATAATGGCCAAAGGAGCAAAACCGAATGCTTGAAAACTGTCGTAGGACAGAGGTAGGTAGGCTGCATATATTATATATATATATATATATATATATATATATATTGTGCTAGTTAGGATGGTTAGCTAAATGAGTTACACCTGTGCCAAATTGGTTGATTATCTGATTGTGCTCCTCCCGAACCTTGTTAATAAAACATCATGTGTTTAGCGCTCAATAATGCACACTCAGTCCTGTTTTGGGCATAAATACATAGGAAAAATACTTTTCTCAAGAAATGTATGAGCTATATTTGCTCATTCTGTTTGAACATTCTGTGCTTGTTTAATACCGTTTGAGTATGAATGCATTTTTTTTGCATTATTACAGTAAAACAACCTGTTAAACTACTTTTTGTTCCATTTTTTTTTCATGTTCAATATTATTTTAAATAAGACAAGGAAAAGCAAGACTTGAATGCATTTTTTTTTTTGCATTATTAGAGTAAAACAAACTGTTAAACTACTTTTTGTTCCTTTTTTTTCATGTTCAATATTATTTTAAATAAGACAAGGAAAAGCAAGACTTGAATGCATTTTTTTTTTTGCATTATTAGAGTAAAACAAACTGTTAAACTACTTTTTGTTCCTTTTTTTTCATGTTCAATATTATTTTAAATAAGACAAGGAAAAGCAAGACTTGAATGCATTTTTTTTTTTGCATTATTAGAGTAAAACAAACTGTTAAACTACTTTTTGTTCCTTTTTTTTCATGTTCAATATTATTTTAAATAAGACAAGGAAAAGCAAGACTTAAATATGTTATTAACTGCATTTCAAAATCAGTAAAACTGCAAATATTGTTTTTGTCAAATAAAGTCTTACGATGTAAATTGTAATATCTGGCCCTTCGCATTTTATGTGGTTTAAATGTGGCCCCCTTGGTCTTTGAACTTGAGTACCCCTGTGCTAGTGTATGCCATTGCCTTGACATACCTTACGCAAAACGAGCCATGCCCCTGGGTGTGAGAGCTCATTCCATTCGGAGTGTTGCTTCTTCCGGGCGTTGGCAGACATTTGAAGAGCTGTGGGCTGGGTGACACCTAACACCTTTGCAAGATTTTACAATCTCTGGGTTGAGCCGGTTTCGTCCCGTGTTTTGTGAACAAACAGGTAATAAGCCTGAGGTCTGGCTGTCTCTCTTGCAGCACCATTTCCCATCTGAAGGGAATGCGAGTGCTTCTCTGCTCTTCCAGAGTGTTCCCCGGTGGGTGGACCCTGGTTGTGTTCCTCCAACACTCTGTGGAGGTCAGACTCGGTGGAGGAACCCTATGCCAGTACTTGATGCATACATGTTTGGTCAGTCCCTTCGGGAAATCCTGTTTGTATATTTTCCATGGTAAGGTTTCCCTATTTTGGTAAATCTATGTCTTTCCCTTGATAGATTTCCTTCTGTCCGTCTCTGCGTTTGTAGTCATTCCACCCCTTTTTGTTCCAAAGTATTTTTATTGAATATTTTGTCAAACATGAGACATATAATACAGTTAGACATATTTTTTATTTTTTAGATAGCATCCCTACCCACAACAATTCCCCCTGTTGCACGATTATACATTTAAGCTTTCTAATATGAAGAAAAAAAAAATAATAATAATTCACTACTCCTCTGAGATAAATGAGGGGTCCATCTTCTTTATCTGCTCTAAAACAGGTTGCCAAGTAATATAAAACATGTTGGTACAGCCTCTTATAGTGTGCCATATTTTTTCTAAGGCCATATAATGTAGTAGGTCCTTAAGCCATTGCTTAAAGGTTGGAGGGGATTTTTCTTTCCATTTGAGCAGTATTAACCTCCGGGCTAGAAGCATAGCAAAAGCGATCAGATTTTTCTTACTTTGATTAAAAAAAAAGGATCATGGTATGATACCAAATATTGAAATTATGGCCTCAGGCTCTATACATGTCTTTAATGTATCAGAGAGAAATTTAAATATCAACTGCCAGAAGTCTTTTAATTTTGGACAAAGCCAAAACATGTGAGAAAGCGTAGCTGGCTCAATTTCACACCTATCACAATTAGGGTCTAAATTTGGTTTGAATTTGGTTAATTTCACTTTGGACCAATGCAGTCTGTGAACAATTTTAAATTGAATTACTCTATGTTTTAGAGAAATTGAAGATGAATAAATATTATTTAAGACATACTGCCACGTCTTCCGAGAGTTCTATATCTAATTCCACCTCCCATTTTCTTTTTAGTTGAGCTAGGGGTTCCAGGTTATGAGAATTAATTACAGAATAAATTTTACCAATGGCTCCTTTGGAATATGGACTCAGGTCCATTATAGACTCAAGAAGGGAACAGGGAGGCAATGAAGGATAGTGGCTCAATGAGGAAGACACAAAGCTACGAAGCTGAAGAAATCTAAAAAAGTGGGAGTCAAGAATTTGGAACTTCATTTTCACTTGACTGAATGATGCAAAGTCTCCATCAATAAACATATCTTTTAGTATCCTAAGACCTTTCACAGACCAAATATTAAAGGTTTCATCCATAATAGAAGGGGTAAACATGTGATTTCATTTTTATAGTATTTATTCTGCCTCCTAATGATAATGGTAATGGGCTCCGACGTTCAAAGTCTTTTTTAATGGAATCCATCAGTGGATGGAAATTTGCTTTGTACAAATATCTGTACTTATTAGTGATCCATATACCTAGGTATTTGAATTTATCTTTAGTTAATTTAAATGGTAAAGAGGTAAAAATAATCTGTCTAGTAGCAGAGTTGATAGGCATAAGCTCACTTTTCTGCATATTTGTTTTGTAGCCTGATATTTTCCCAAAAGCATCCAGTAAAGTCAATATTTGTGGCAGACTCTTTAATGGTTCAGATATATACAGAAGGGTGTCATCCGCATAAAGATAAACTTTGTGTTCGGAATTTTCCCTCTGTATACCCTTAATATTAACATCATTCCGTATTGCAATGGCTAGGGGCTCAATTACCAATGCAAATAACAAGGGGGATAAGGGACAGCCCTGTCTGGTCCCACATTCTAGTGAAAAGAAGGGTGAGAGATTATTATTTGCTGCTACAGGTGAAGAGTATAAAATTCGGATCCATGATATAAACTTTGTCCCGAATCCAAATTTTTTGAGGGTATAGAAGAGGTAGTCCCACTCCACCTGATCAAATGCCTTTTCAGCATCGAGTGACAAAAGCACCTCTGGAGTATCGGATGGAGTGGGATGTTGGAGGATGTTTAAGAGTCTACATATATTATAAAATGAGTAGCGATTTTTAATGAACCCTGTCTGGTCATCAGATACTAATGAAGGTAATACTTTTTCCAGTCGGTGTGCTAATATTTTGGCAAATATTTTGCTGTCAATGCGGAGCACGCCACGGAGGCAGCCATCAGCGTCGGCACCATCTTCGAATAATAATCTTCGAATTTAGCAATGAAATCTGCCGATCTGAGCTGCATTCTGATACGTTTTTATCCTTCTTATAGATGAGAGATATAATTGCTTGTCTCATAGTCTCTGGCAACGAGCCAGAAGTGGAGTCATAGACAGAAAGTAAAATAGGGGCAAGATCATTAGAAAATTTTTAAAGAATTCACTTGGAAAGCCGTCTGGCCCCGGTGATTTTCCGCTTTGGGCTCCTCATGTTTCAACCATGTTTTGACCAAATCTTAGATTGTCTGATTCGGTCTGATACCCTACAATAATATTATCTAAACCGCTGATTAATCTCTAAGGGATTTGTCAATTGAATGCCCAAATCGTTGTTAATTGTCAAAATGGAATGCTCTGCATTTTGTTGTCGTATTTGGTGTGTTAAAATCTTCCCTATCTTTTCACCGTTTATATATCTTATGCCTGGATTTATTTAATAGATTTTCTATGTGTTTTGTAGATAACAAATTAAATTCCGAATGGAGAGCCAGTCGTTGCCTAAATAAACCAGGTGATGAAGAATATGCCAAAATATCATTTTCAATTTTTTTGAGCCACTCCAGTCGCTTTTTCCTTGCTCTGGCGCACTATATGATATAATCTGGCCCCGAAGATAAGCTTTTAAAGATTCCCAAATTAAACAAGAAGATACTCCTGGAGTCTGATTACATGCTAAATATTCACTTATTTCTAATGATATGAATTTAACAAACTCAGTGTCTGAGAGAAGCAGTGTATTAAATCGCCATGGTCGATAGTCTTTATACATAGTTGGCATATTTAGGGTGATTAATAACGGTGCATGATCTGATATTACTATTGCATGATATTCACATTTACAGACTAATGGAAGTAATTCACTATCTAAGAAAAGATAATCTATACGCGAATAAGTCTTATGAACTGGTGAATAAAAAGAGTAGCCTCTTCGGCCTGGATTTTGGAATCTCCAAACGTCAATCATTCCATAGGTTTTAAGAAGCTGGTTAATAACTTGTGTTGTACGAGTTGGTACCATAGTTTTGGGGGAACTACGGTCTAGTGAAGGTGACAGCACACAATTAATATCTCCTCCTAGTATTAGATGGTGTGTATCTATATTGGGTATTCGAGAAAAAAGACCAGTAAAGAATGCACTGTCATCCCAATTAGGTGCATATATGTTTGCCAAAACTACTGGAGTGTTATTTAGTCTACCCACTACTATTATATAACGACCCGCTGGGTCAGCCTCAATTTTTGACATGACAAATGAGACCGTTTTGCTAATGAGAATTGCTGTTCCTCTAGATTTAGAGTGAAAATTAGAGTGAAATAATTGCCCCACCCATCCTCCTCTGAGTCTGAAGTGATCAAAGGTGTTCAAGTGGGTTTCTTGTAGGAAGGCGATATCTGTATTTAGCTGCTTTAGGTGTGAAAGTACCTTTCTACGTTTCACTGGATGATTTAGAGACTTGACATTCCAACTTACAAGATTTACCTGGCAAATGCCTGATATGTTGACTCCAGCGTTCTGTGATTTAGCCATTCGAGTATTTGAATTTAGGTACTAAGGTTTTATTTGAAACAGGCAGAAGAGACCCCTTCATTAATGAAGAAAAAAAAAAAAACGAAACAAAAAGTAGTATTAGATCAAGTGCAACAGTTACCCATTCCCAATCACCAACTAGAACATGGTGAAAATTTAACCCCTCGCAGCAATATCAACACATTAAGTGCTTTTTTGGGGAACTTTAGCTCCGTGTATTGCTATGCACAAACATAATTGACATAAGTTTTGATTGTCCAAATATGAAAAAAAAAAAAAAAAAGCCTAGCGCATACTGTCTACAAGCAACTATTAAAACTTGTGACTTATAGATAAGCGTTTAGAAGTGTAAAATTTACTTAAGCAACAAGAAATAACAATAACAGTATTCCAATAAAATGTTTCTGATTTTAACATTCTAACATTCTAATTTTATGATTATCAATAAAGTCAGATAGTTTTAATAATATTATCTCTCGATCCTCGTCCTCAAGGTTATGCATTCAGCCACAGTCTCTGTATCGGTGTAATGTTTATGTATTCACTCAGAAATTATGGCATGAAGTGGGGACAGAGGAAAGATAGAAACATGGTATTTTACTTAACTATTCAGTCCTTGTGATCGAGCCTCCTCAGAGAATATTATTTGTCACATAAGTCATAGCTTCCACTGCATCCTGAAACTGCTTTTCTGTTCCGTTGTGGGTGATTCGGAGTTTAGCCGGGTGGAGAATACCGTAACGGACACCCTCTCTGCCTCGTAGTAGTTTTCTGACTTCGTTAAACGCCGATCTTGCGCAGGCCACGCTTGGTGGATAATCGGGGAAGATGAGTATTGTTGAACCCTTGTAATGAAGTCGCCAGATTTCACGAACACGGCGGAGAATTTCGACACAGTCTTGATAGTAATGCAATTTTGCTATGATTGCTCTTGGTTTACCATCTGCCCGTTTTGCCTGGAGGGTGCGATGGGATCTGTCGATCAGCACATCTTTATCCATTTTTAGGGTGTCCTTAAGCAGCTTCGACACTGAAGTTGGGGAACATGCGCCAGATTCTTCAGCTACATTCAGTATGCGAATATTTGACCTTCGCATTCGCCCTTCCATGTCTAAGCACTTCTCCTGCAAGTTTTCCACATTTTTCTCCAATCTGTTCACAGTATTTTGTAGTACTGTGATATCGTCCGAGCAGCCGGATAGCCCTTGTTCCATGTCTGATATTGTCGTTTTAATTGTTTCTAAGTCTGAGCAAAGAGCCGAAGCGTTGCTTGCTATCTCTGATTTAACTGCTTGTAGCTCTGATTTAACCATGTCAAATTCGTTTGACAGCACATTCTTCAGCTCTGTATGAAAGAGCGCGGTTATTTCCATCTTGATGGATGAAATTAGCTCAGTTTTCAAATCCATAAAGTCAGTATGTTTGGCTGATTCGGACATCATGCTAGATGCGTTAGCATCCGTTTTGCTAGCAGCGGTTTTTCCCGTGTACTTGTATTTGCGTAGAATGCTCGCCATTTGGAATTGTAAAGGAACAAATCGTCTCATGTGAAGTAATAAAGTCTTGAGTAGTTGCAATGTATCATATTTTCGGTCAAGGCGCCTTAAGAAGTGGAATAAATACATTTTTGTGCAGAGCTCACCAAACTTGCGACCTATTCCACTGCCTGCTCACTAGTGCCCCTCATTCCATCCCTTTTTAAGACTTACCACATGTCAACTCTCCTCCTGTTACCTTCCCTTGGGAAGGATGTGGCTTTACTTTCCCCAATGTAAATCTGTCATTAAAAAAAAAAAAAAAACACAGTATAGATGTAACGTCAAACATAACTGACTGAAAGGGAACGCCTTGGTTATGTATGGTAGAGGCCAGTAGAGCATTTACGGTAGTTTTGGGGCAGATTGACAACTGCGTATGTGCATAGTGTGTGTCTGTAGGAGATGGAAAGGTGAAGAGATAACTTGCTCTACCGACATCTGTTTATCTTTATTTTATTTGATTCCTTTTTGTTTGTGACCTGAGTTGGATGCTTATTTATGTAAATGTTTGTCTCATTCGATCCCCATGTATGTGGACGAGTGTGTTGGTGCTTGAGGCTTTTTATTAAACTCGGGGAAAATACGTCACCTTCTCGTCTCCCGTGCATGATTAGCACCACACAGTTTTCCTATCTGGGCTGTTGAACATTTCAACTCAGTGTTACAGTATGTAATCCTTGCTCCCTGAAGGTGGGATGGAGACATTACTTCCCTCTTGCCACAATCATGAACTACTGCTAAATGGGTGGGATGCATTCTCGGCTCCTCAGCACAAATCTGAATAAGTGGAAGCATGCTGCCATATTATATACCTGTATGCATGGGGAGTGGCTTGGCATGCAAATTCCACTCACCAAGATTCATTGGCCATTTCTTGTACTGCTCAGAGGTGACTGGGCTCCAAAGTGAGACGCCAATACATCAGTATCAACATAGCATCTCTGTTCCCTCCTTCAGGGAATGAGGGTTACATACATAACCAAGATGTTTCTTATTTAAACTATCATTTCATGAAAAGAAATAATAATGCTACTACTACTAATAATAATAAAGGAATAGTTAAGGCAAAAATGAGAAAGAGCATTCCCAAGCCCGCCGGCCGCGCCGATGTCCTCTAACCAAAGGAGGAGTATGAGGAGAAAAACACTGTTCTCTGCCATCATCCCAGCCCCAGAGCTCGCTCCACGGAGGGCTCCTGTTCCCGGGTTTAACCCAGAGAGGGTTCCAGTCCCCGAGTTTAGACCAAGTTTAACCCAGAGAGGGCTCCAGTCCCCGAGTTTAGCCCAGAGAGTGCTCATGTCCCCGAGTCCATCCCAAGGAGGGCTCCAGTCCCCGATTCCAGCCCAAGGAGGGCTCCAGTCCCCGAGTCCAGCCCAAGGAGAACTCCAGTCCCCACGTCCAGCACAAGGAGGGCCACAGTTCCAGAGTTAGGCCTACGGAGGGCCTCTGAAACCGACGTTATCCGCAAGGATTTTTTGGGGGGTGGGGGTACTAGGGGTCTGTCCGTGGATGCCGGGCCGAGTGCAGAGGCCAGGCTCCCCGAGCTCCCTGTCCCGCCATGGCTTCTTAGTCTGCCTGCTGTGCCATGGCGCCCTGAGTCCCCTGTCCCGCCATGGCCCCCTGAGCTCCCTGATCCGCCCTGGAGGCCTCCCGTGTCTCTGTCTTGGACCAGCCTCCAGGATGGGCGCCAACCGCCCCCCCGGTGGATATGTTAGGGTATTGGACGTGCCTTTCGGGAGAAGGATGTAATGTAAGGGAGTCTCTGTCACCAGCTCTGGACTCCATATCCCAGAATCCTCACACCTGTTCTCAGTCACGATCACCATCACCTGGGGTTCTAATCACCCGCACCTGCTGCAGCTCGTCAAGCTCCCTTTTATCTGCTCACTCTCCACATTCCCTCCTCGTGCGGTCTACCGTTCACATCACTGAACTATACCAGACTCACTACCTGAACTTACTTGTGTTTGCTTACCTTAGATGTTCCTGTGCTTCAGTGCTCCACCGATCCCGCTCCTCCACGTTCGTCCTGCAAAGATACAAAGATCCATTACCTCAAGATAAGCCATTCTGAAATTGACTCTCTGTGCCACACTCACCTCTCATCTGCTCCTAATTCCTTCTTGCTCCTTATTCAATAAATACCTCTGTGTTGACCACTTATCTTTGTGTCCCTAGCCAGTGTCGTGACCGTGTAATTAATTAGATAAAAAATTTTAATCACTTGACCAGTCAAGATAGTTTTGCTATCTTTTTGTCATTAAGGACTGTAGATGATGCACACACAAAAAAAATTTGCATGAACAACTTAGAAAGGAGTTAGAATTTTTCTCTCTATTCAAAAAAAGTATCAGTAACTAATTAAAAAATGTCAGACAACTGTTATAGAATGTTATGTAATTGCATCTACTATACCGCAACCTAGATTCAATCATTTTTTTGCAGAGAGCTTGGGATTTGAAAAAATACTACCAGATTTGTGATTTACATTTTTCTCATCCTGATACTTTTTTTTTATTTTTTAGGCTAAAAGAAGAAAAAGACAAAGAAGAAAACCAATGGAAACACATTGAGTTTCTAGCACACTCCTCCTTGGACCAACAATATCTCTGCTTACATAATGAAATATGAATGCAAAGAGCAAAATGGAGTTTAAAGGATTTAATATGCCCCAAAGGACATTTGAATATATGACAAAAGGCAGACATGATAAAAGGCAGCACTGTTTTGCCTCAGAGGATCTTGCCCAAATACATACTGACATGGCAAAGAACACTGTGTCACTGCAGCTAATGCTGCTCATTGTGCATGGTCTCTTTATGCCAGCTTCAGCACAAGTCTGCAGCCTGCTTGGTCAGCCTGCCTTGCCTTCACTTTCTGCAGAACGAGACATCAACATTGGGGCAATTTTCTCAATCCACAGAAATGCTCTGCTAAAAATGCATAATTATACTTCCAAACCAGATCCAACAACATGTGTCAGGTCAGTATTAAAAATAAATTAAATGTGTTAAGTATAACTCTCTGATAATTCTTTACAGAATGTAATACAGCTGATGTGTTTCATTCACCACAGCTTAAACTTACGTGAGTTTAAATTTGCTCAGACATTGATTTTTGCCATTGAGGAGATTAACAACAGCACACAGTTGTTGCCTGGTATTTCTTTGGGCTATAAGATATATGACTCATGTCGCTCTATCGCTCAAACAATCCTCTCAGGCATGGCTTTAATGAACGGTTATGAAGACACTTTGAGTGATACATCCTGCCCTAGACCACCAGCTACTCATGCAATTGTTGGAGAGTCAACATCCTCACCCACCATTGGCTTGGCATCTGTAGTTGGTCCATTCAAGTTACCTGTTGTAAGAACTCACTTTGCTGCTGGTTTGTGTAATCAGACTATGATGAACCACTGGAACATGTACCAAAAATATATGCTTGGAAATTGATGTTGATGAAAAAATAATGTTGAAAATTGAAGGAAACCGTTGAAAGAAAGCAATGTGTTGAACTAGAGCACTATGCTTATATAGTGAAATAAGAACTGGAAGGTATTTTCTGAAAAATTATGTGGACAACAGATTATACACTGTTTTTTTTTTATATTGCAGATCAGTCATTTTGCCACATGTGCATGCCTGAGTGACAGAAAAAGGTATCCATCCTTCTTCAGAACAATACCCAGTGATTATTACCAAAGCAGAGCACTGGCTCAGCTTGTCAAGCACTTTGGCTGGACCTGGGTTGGGACAGTCAGGAGTCGCAATGACTATGGTAATAATGGAATTGCAGCATTTGAGGAGGCTGCAAAAGAAGAAGGGGTCTGTATTGAATACTCAGAGGCCATATTAAGCAGTGATCCACAAGAAAAGTTTCTAAAGACACTGGAAGTGATCAAAAAGGGCACCGCCAGGGTTGTGCTAGCTTTTATGGCATTAGGAGATTTTCTCCCCCTCCTGAAAGTAATTTCGCAACACAATATCACAGGGATACAGTGGGTTGGCAGTGAATCCTGGATCACTTCTCGAACTCTTGCAGAAACAAAGGAATACCGTTTCCTTTCTGGAGCTGTGGGTTTTGCTATAGCAAATGCCAAACTTATGGGCCTGCAAGAGTTCCTAGTGAATGTGCACCCTGATCAAGAACCAAACAATGTACTTTTAAAAGAATTTTGGGAAATAGTTTTTCAGTGCTCATTCAGGAACATTGGCAGTGATGGCTGTACTGGTTCAGAGAGACTTGCAGAGCTGCAGAATGAATATACTGACATATCAGAGCTACGAATAGTAAATAAGGTGTACACTGCAGTGTATGCTGTCGCAAATACACTTCAAAATGTATTAAAAGACTTCAGATCCTCCACCAACAGCAGCAAAAGAGGATGGCCCACACCACAAATGGTAAATGAGGAGAACTTAGTTTAATACAGAAATTAATTAATATAGAAATAATGTTACTGATGTTTCCTCTTAGGTGTTGAAGTATATGAGGGATGTGAGATTCACTGTTAAAACAGGTGAAGAAATCTTTTTTGATGAAAGTGGTGATCCAGTAGCACGATATGACCTTGTTAACTGGCAGCCTGCTGAGGATGGAAGTCTGCAGTTTGAGCATGTGGGCCTCTATGACAGCTCACTGCCTTCACAACAACGTCTTCAAGTCAATCAGGAACACATACTATGGGTAGAGAAACGTGGACAGGTACATTAATAACAGTTTGAATCACTAAATGGTCAGTTAGTTGAATATGACAAAATATGTATGAAAGCAGTGGCATTATAGTGATAAAATTTATTACTGAAGACAAGTTATTTTGCCAATTCAAACCATCATCACTGTGAGGTTTTATATGACAGCTTGTTTTCTTATAGTTGCCTGTGTCCGTGTGCAGTGAGAGCTGCCGCCCTGGCACTAGGAAGGCTGTGCAAAAAGGACGACCTGTTTGCTGTTATGACTGTATTCCATGTGCAGAGGGAGAAATCAGTAATGGCACAGGTAAAATGATATATGCGGGATAAATCTCATGAAACTATGTTAAAGTTAAGTGTAATACTGTCCTCTTTGTCAAGGGACTTTATAAAGCACTTTACATTCACTAACATTTCTTTTTTATATATTGGAATAATTTCTTCACAGATTCTAGTGACTGCTTTCCATGTGATTTGGAGTACTGGTCGAATGAAAGGAAAGACGGATGTGTATTAAAAGTTGTTGAATTCCTTTACTATACAGAAATCATGGGGGTGGTGTTTTGTATTTTCTCCTTCATTGGAGTGTTATTAACAGCAATGGTATATTTTCTGTTTTACCTTCATAAAGAAACATCTATTGTAAGAGCCAACAACTCAGAGCTGAGCTTCCTGTTGCTTTTCTCACTCTCACTGTGTTTTCTCTGTTCACTTACTTTTATTGGTCGGCCCACTGAGTGGTCCTGTATGTTGCGTCACACAGCATTTGGGATCACTTTTGTCCTCTGTATCTCCTGTGTTCTCGGGAAAACAATAGTTGTGTTAATGGTATTTAAGGCCACACTTCCAGGAAGTAATGTCATGAAATGGTTTGGGCCTTTTCAACAGAGACTCAGTGTTGTTTCCTTAACGTTAATACAGTTGATTATCTGTGTGCTTTGGTTAACAATATCCCCACCTTTCCCATATATGAATTTGAGCTATTATAGAGAAAAGATCATACTTGAATGTAACTTAGGTTCAGCTCTTGGTTTCTGGGCTGTTCTGGGTTATACTGGCCTGCTATCAATTATGTGTTTTCTTTTAGCTTTTCTTGCTCGTAAGCTCCCTGATAACTTCAATGAAGCCAAGTTCATCACATTCAGTATGCTCATATTCTGTGCTGTCTGGCTCACGTTTATCCCAGCTTATGTCAGTTCTCCTGGAAAATTTACGGTAGCTGTACAGATATTTGCTATTTTAGCATCAAGTTTTGGTTTACTATTTTGCATATTTGTACAGATCATTCGAAACTGCAATGTGTTTTACTTTATTTCTGTCATCTCGGTTTCCTTTCCGTGGACTTTCGTAATGCTCCGCGCCACACAAATAGCCGAACCAACTCAGCAGCATAGCCTATCTCTCAGTCTTTTCCTTTCGTCTTGTTAATCTGTCAATTAGGCTATTTAAGTCAAATATTTAGCATATTCATTAATTTTATATATAGACTATGATTTAATAAAAATAGATTTTGTTATTTTTAGTTAAACTTAATTTTTGTTGCTTGTCTGCGCTCGTCCGCCGCCTTTTTTCACTTCTCCGACCCCGCAGCTCTCTCCAATAGCTTAGTGTTAGTGGCACCAGTCCAGGTGTTTCCAGGTTTTACTCGTGCTTTTGTATTAGGCTGAAACAAATATTTTGCATACTCATTCTGCGCTCGTCCGCCGCCTTTTTTCACTTCTCCGACCCCGCAGCTCTCTCCTATAGCTTAGTGTTAGTGGCTCCAGTCCAGGTGTTTCCAGGTTTTACTCGTGCTATTTCTCCATGTTGAGAGTTTGGTGTCGCACTTATTGCACCTGAATATGCATTCTTATCCTTTTCTCCTATGAACTGAAAATAACAGGAGTGTGTCCATCTCACAAATGTAGAATCCGTCTCTGCAGTCATCTCAACCATCTAATTCCAGCAACAGAAGATAGACAAATTATGTTACCCGCGGAATTTTTTCTCTGGTGCTGTTTTGCGGTGTTAGTAAATTCACCACTTAATTTTGAGTTAAAATATGTTGTTGTAACTTGCGTTACTGAGATTGTAACGAGTAATAATATTACCCAAATTTGATTAGTAATGCATTATATTACTGCGTTACAGCAAAAAGTAATATACTACTGTAATATTATTACTTTTGTAATGCGTTACTCCCAACACTGTTTATGTCCTCTGAACTGATGGATTCCCATGTCATCATGAGTACTGAATGGCATCACTTCTGTCAAGTCTTTCTAATTCTCTGACGCTTCTGGTTCAGCACTCTCAGTGTCAATCTCCATGAAACCCACCAACGCCAAATTCTCCTTGTGCCCCTCAATCATCCCCAGGATACCTTTTTTTTTTTTTTTTTGTGATAACACACAACATTTAAAAAACGGAAACTAAACATTAAATTAGTTACATATTCAAATACTAGATTCTGACTTGTAAAAAGCATTCCCATCCTCGTCCTTTTAATGAGCAGTTTTCTAAGGCTTTTGCAACCCAACATGCCTTTTTTTAGTCATGCAAGTACAGCTCCTATCTCTTTGAAGGGGGGAACAATAAATTCTCCAAATCTGTTTACCAAGCTTATGAATAAATTTCATATTTGAAATCCCCAATGAAATCTGACAACAACTGTCTCATAAATGTTGTGACATTACGTATGAACTGCAACCCTCATTCCCTGAAGGAGGGAATGAAGACGTTATGTCGACACTGACGTTAAGGTTCTCACTTGGGAGCCCTAATTACTTTCTGAGCATTACAAGAAATGGCCCATTACTACTGGCATGTGGAATTTACATGCCAAGACACTGCCCGTAGATATTAGTATATAAAATGGCAGCATGCATCTACTCATTCAGGTTAGTGCTAAGGAGCCGTTATAATGCTCCGGTTACTGATGTAACCTCGGTTTCCCTAAGATAAGGGAAAGAGCATTGCGTGGAAACGCATATGGGGAAAACTCCTGTTTTACTCTGTTCTGAAGCCTGATTTGTTCACGTTTGTGTAACTGCACAAACCAATGGCACTTTAGCCCGCCAGAAAGGCAAAACTACTATATAAGTCGGCTCGGACCGCCATTCATCAGATCATTCGACTGAAGCGACAGTCATCGTTTCGCGTGCAGCTTATAGCGCGGCAAGTGACGCAACGTTTGTTCACTTATCTCAGGGAACCGAGGTTACGTCAGTAACCAGAGCGTTCCCTTTCGAACGGTCTCTCCCATTGCGTGGAAATACATATGGGGAACGCATCCAGTTATTCCATGCTATGAGCAGATACAGAACAGTCTGCTCTGCGAGCCCAGTCTCAGAGCACTAAGATAAGGACTCCAGGAACATGAGCACATTGTGCCCTAAGCTAGTAGCGGAGAAGCACAGATATAACAAGCTTCGCCCAAGGGGGGAACAATGGCAGTTGAACAGAAATATATAGGGCATTGCAAGCGCTCTGAGGCATAAGCCAAGGCTATTGCATCTACTATCCAGCAGGAGAGTCAATGCTTTGTGACTGGCAGCCCCTTGTGTCGGCCTCCGAAGCAAACAAAGAGCTGCTCAGACTGTCTGAACAGGCCAGAACACTCTAGATTTAGGGTGCTTTCACACTTGGTTCGATTGCTTGGTCCGAACCCGAGTTCAATTGCTCCCTCCCCCTGCCCCCGCTGGACTGTGTTCACATTATATTATTTGGGTCCGAACCGCGGTTCGTTTGCGTCATCAAGCCAGCAGCTGTTTACCCC